TCTACTGCTTCTCCATGCTTGGAGGAGAGTTTATAGATTCCCTGTTCGAGCGGGAGAGGCGTTCGGAGTCCATATGGGGAGAATCGAGAGGTCGGTGGTACACGTCCGCACCGTAAAAGTGAAGAATTAGGACTTGGCTTGGAAATTTGCTCTTGGGTATGCTCGGTATAATTCGTAGCTCCCGGGAGAACCCGTAGCAACAAGTAGATACGAGGCCTTCACACAGCTGATCCGAGTGAGCTCCCTAGACGCCATCACCTCGTCCCTGGAATGATACCCCTTCCCCAGAAGTTCCTTCATTCCTACCCGCGCTAGAGGCCCTCAGCATCCCAAGTCCGAGGAGGGGGAAAGGGGAACACTACAGGAGAACGCCTTGCATCGACGCCTCTGTGAGGAATGAAGGAGTAATGTACCCACTCGACAAGTCCCATACACGAGTCGCAAATGATATTATAGCAAGCCACAGCGTCGCAACCTGCAACCACCCTGCATTTTCATCTTCCAAGCACCATGGGGCCGGCTCAAGAACCGCGCCTCCTTCCCCCCAACCCCCTACTCTATCCTCCCTGTTCTCCCAAGGAACGACTTCAGAAGTGTTCTATGCGGATAATGGTGGATGGCGATGGCGCACCGACAGCCTCCTCGTTTCATATTAAGGCAGAACCTTCTACGTAAGCTCTTTTTCGGTATTCTGGCATCTATCTAGTCCTAAAGAGGTGGAAGGAATGCTTTTCCAAACTCTGGTTGTCGGCCCTATTATGCGGGGGACTGGATTGACTTTTAGGCGGGTCTTTCATGGAAGGATTGGGAGACCTCGTGAAAGATCCGAGCACATCAATGGGACAAGACACGCGCATACTGAGGCATTCTGCATAATTGGTATTTGTCTGTGGGCATGCTTTAATGGGCGATGGCAAGTCTAAGAATAACTGAGACTGATGCTTAGCTGAGGCGAAGCTACCTTGATTAACATACCCGGTTGATGGAAATGGGGGTCAACTAAAAGAGAACTTCTTCCGAGTGTCTCTGCGCCAAGCTCAGTGAGAGAGAAGAGTGACACCAGTAAGGCAAGTTGAAAGATTGTGTGACGGTTTCTTTCCCTCCTCGTGTGGAGCCAGCCGCAGGGCATCCAACAATTATAGCATGGGACGAACAGCTGTAAAACGAGCCCAGAAAAAGCTTATACTGTTTCCCGAATTGAAACTTACATTGTGTGATCCGGAAAATGGAGAAAATAGACTTGAGGAACGGGAGACAGAGGTCAAATGGCGATGGTTTCAAGGAAAGAGTAGAGCAAGAGGATGTGAGTGAAGCGAGCCGGGAATAAGTGAAGAATCAGGGAAACAAAACTCCGCCCTCTGTTCTTGATAGGGTGTATTACACGGTAGTAGGACAATCATCGCATCGATGAACACGACTGAATAGCCAGTAATGCTGCTTGATATCTGCATCTTGATCTCTCCTACATCAAACTACATCTCTCGCCCCAACTCTATCCCAACCCTCCTGCCAACATCGGCCCGTTAAACTCGTGCCATGCTCCTGCGTTTGGACAAATGGCGGATCACTCGTTGCATCAAGACTACACCACTCATTTTTAAAACACAGCATAAGATCTCCCATCAAGTCCCATCAGGCATGTCCCGCAAGCCAGGCCTTTTCACATATTGGATGGCACCGTCAACCCGTCAACCCGCGACCAAACTCCCGTGCTTTTTATACGGTCTCCCTTCCTCCGATCCGCCTTGCTGAAAGGACAGTATCGTACTCAGACCAGCCAGCGCAGGGCGATCTTTGGGTCAGGCATAAACCACTCCAGCAGGGTCTTAGGCCCCAAAGGCACTGATCCGTCCTTGTGTGACATGAGCGAGTGGAGCTAGAGACGCCTATGAGAAGGTCCGCCAGGGGGGTTCCCTGTCACCCTCATTCATCCGACTTCCCTCACTTTCAATCAAAATTTAACTTGCTCACTGTACACCTATTACCTGCCACCCTCTGACTATTGGACTGGACATCAATCCTTGCCCCTGTCCCCGAAATGTTAGCTCCCGCAATGCCTCCCTTTCGAAGACCAGAGAAAAGCGGGAATGTGCCTGTAGATCCATGGGGACGTGAATGCGACGCTTAATGCGAACCGGGGCTCAGTTTTAATGATTTGGTAAAAAAAAAATCGCGGGGAGCGGACATTCAGAGCACGACACGACAACTTGGCCGTGGAGTTGCTCGATATCTACCAAGACTTGATCGAGGTACTGGAACGAAAGAGCGACGAAGTACATCATATGATGTATCAAAGTACCCACATCCATGAAACACAGTACTCGTTCCCACTGTCTACCCAGAACCACTAAACCGCACCACGGAAGTGGCCCATCTGCTTCCGGCCCCTCTCAAAAACCACAGTACTCCCGTGCAGTTCCGCCCCACTCCTGACTACTGTGCGCCACTGGCAAGCGCCTCGCGGGACTTTCTCGCCAGCGGACCCTGAAAAAAAGAGCCCCTAAAGGTCACACTGATCTTGCCTGAAAGTAGCACTGATATGCTGAGCCCCAGCTTGAGTCCAGGGCTCGGTCTGCTTTCCTCCAATTGTACCCGCCGCAGCGAAATTAGGACATAGCGCTGCTAGCCACCACTACTAATGTACATCAATCGATCAATGCATGAACGGAGTAGTGTCCAAGGAGCGTAGTTTGATTGACCACTAGCCGGGGAAAAAGAAGAACCCTGAACATTAAAACACCCACTATGAAGTATAAATGGCATCACCTACCCCTGTGCCTCAATCTACCCATCCGCTAATTGATCTGTGCCAGTCGATCAACCGAACGCTAGCGTCCACTATTATACTAGGCTATTATTACCACGCGACGCTATCTCAATCGTCGTTTTAGCGCATGCGCAGGGATGTGACGGAGCCTGAAGCCGGTGCGGCACCAATTCCTCACGTGCTGTTCAGGACAAGACCCTGTCGCAAATTGTCGTGAGAGAAGACTCTTTGGTGACGCGACATTCTGAAGTAAAGTTGAGAAAGGGATTGGGGGGGAATCGGGTGGGATTTGCAAAAACTACCGAAAATGCGCTTTGCTTTTTCCTTGGGCCAGTTCTCTGGTAGCTGCTCATCAAGGGAACAATAAGAATTGCGGCATCCTTCCAAGGATGGAGAGAGAGAATCCATGGATGATACATTGGGAGGGAAAGTATCGAGGTATCACTCTAATCGACTCATGTACCAGTTGCCGAACACTTATTTAGCCCAAGGCACAAGGTTCTTGGTGTGATGTCGACCTGAATTAGCACAAGGCTATTTCCGTGCCGAAGACTTGAGGCGAGGCAACCGGGTCCGCCCGCTGTAAGCTGTCGTCCACAGACATCAATCAATTTGATATTTGATCTAGATAACCCTCCACTTACAGCCCGATAAATTGATTGACCCTCACAATGAGAAAGTGAGGCCGAAGGGGGCCTGTCCCGTATCGTCCCGGGTCTGCTGTATTGACCCCCGTGTTCTCCAGCGACGCATTAATAGATCACATTGAAGTGGTGGGTGATGCCTAGAGCACATCACTGCCTCTCATCCGCAAGGCGAATCTCATGAGATGGAAATCTCCTTCACTGCCCAGTTGACTCAGTCCAATATCGAAAATCGATCTGCTTCTTCTTCCCCCCCCCACCTTATACTACTAAAATCCTCCAAGGGAGGCCCGAGAAGCAGGCCATCTTCAGCCTAATGGCTCCAAGAAAAACAGCGAAACCCGACAAAGTCAGCTTTCCCGCATTGCCTGGCCATCGGGGCCTCAGAACCCTGCCTGAAGTCTCTCTCACACACATACAAAGGTTCCTCCGCTGTCTTCGTGGCTTAGACAATACGTGCGCCTTTGCTCTCCCATCCCGTCGGTACCCAAACAGAATCGTCGGATGGAGAGAAGGCCTCTTTTCTGGCTGCGTGTGTGTGTGATCTTGGTTGCACGTACTTCGTACCTGTAACGCTGTCGGCTCCACTAAAGTTTCGTCCCAGCCCCAGCCTCAGTGAACCCCCCATCACATCCGCTCTCCACCCCTCCACGAACAGGCCAGGCCAGGCCTACCCCCGGTCGCCGGTCGGGTCGCAGAAACGGTCTGGCAGTGAGGGCTCGATTTCTTGAAGTGATGTCATTCCACTTCACGATCACACGACAAGCCCATGAAAGTTTGATAGAAAATCACTAAACTGTAAAAATTATTAAGGAAAAAGAAGAAAAAAAAAGAAAATTTCAGTTGCCCAATCTCACCTCATCACTGCCTGCGCCTCTCTTGGAAGGCAGCAGCGCCGAACAGACGGCTTTAATGGAACATTGAAGCGTTCGCTTAATACTCCAGTGGAACGTTGTACGAAGGATACAGCCTGTGTTGCCGAAGAGTCATCTGGGTCTCATCTGGACTACTTGCCAATCATCTGTCCGTCGAGCAATGGCATTGCCAAGTGGGACCAAGAATGCACGCGGAAAAGAATACTCGAAATGTGATGATATCCATTCCCTGGGGACTCGAAGGAAATGTCTATAACCGCGAGAAGCAGAATCTCCAGACCAGTACAAAGGTAATGAGAGAGAAACGGGAAAAGGAATGACTTAGGGAAATATGTCCTCCCCGTATGGTATACCAATCATGAAAATACACGGACCGTCTAAACAAACGAATCAGAAAGCGAAGAGGATAACAGAAAGGAAGTAAATAAAGCAAGAGATAAAATAAGAATAATATTCCACAAAAAAAAAAAAAAAAAAAAAAAAAAAAAAAAGGCACCCGAAATTCCCAGCCGATCAAAATATACCCGATTCCGATATCCATTCCCAGAAGTGCCACAACTCCGACCTCCTATCGTCTCTCCCCATGAGGGTAAAATCCGTCTTCGCTCGTCTGTCATAAGAAGGGGGCAAAATGAACGAATAAAGAAAAGTAAAAACCCAGAAAAAAAAAAAGAGTGTCATCTTCGTACTACATCTTCGTTGAACTCGCCCAACTCAGATTGAGCCCCGCCCGGAATGGTGATGGGTGTAGTATTGGCTGCCGACTAGCTCATTCGCTGGAGGTTGAGGGATGGTTGGAGTCTGAAGAGTGTTGTTGTCGCCTTCGCTCTCACTGTCCATCTCTGCAGCAGCCTCGTCCATCGTTAGCCGGCTTTCGGCTTCTCTGTACAGATTCTCTCTTTGCGCCTCTGTGAGCTCAACTTTATTCATGGGATAGGACTGCATCTGCTGCGAATCCAGACTGATCTTGGCGCCGGTGCGCCCACGGTCCTTTGCTCTTCGTCGAGGTCGAATTTTGGTCGCCGCGTCCATAGTAAGGCCTTCGAGGCCCATTTCGACAAGCTGACACTCGATGTTGCTAGCATTAAACCCGAGATTAGAGCCGCCTCCTCGCTCATTGAATTTGGTCGTTATTCGCTGGTATCTCTCCTTCTCGTCCTCGTAGAATATGTCTCTCAACAGATCGACCTATCAATACGCCATACATAATTAGACTCAAGTCTTTAAACGGAGCGGTTCAGAGAGAGGGGCAGAATCGGTTCACTTGCATCCTTTTTGGGCCAGATAACCCATTTCTGCTTTGCCCGTGTAAGTTTCATTTGCAGAGCTGGCTTCTCAGCCTTCTTGCCAAAGCGTTTGGCAAAGGCAACCGCGATGGCATCCCACATTGTTTTACCCTTCATGTCCTCGTGTTTCATCCGCAACTCTAGTAAATACCTCTCTTCGTCAGGAACGCCAATTCTGAACTGGATTTGGTCACTTAGTTCTCTCGGCGCTTCGAATGGGGAGGTAGGGCCACGGGCAACCCGGGTGGTCTTCTCAATTCGGTTCGTGCTGACCCGTGGCTTAGGTTCGCTGGGCTTCTTCGCCCGGCGGGGTTTGGCGCGGGAGCTTCTAGGGCTGGCAGCCGACTTTGTGTAGGCTGGAGAGGAGGTATAAGGTGAAGGGACTTGGTCAGCGCCGGGGCATTGCGGTTCCGGGGGAGGTTCCGCCGTCTGCGGCGGGGGGAGGGGGAGGGCTGGCTGAGCCATGGGCACATGGGCGGCGAGTGGGGGATGCTCGAGATGTTGATGTTGGCCCTCAGGCTGCTGCTGGTGAGGCGTTCCCATTAGGGAATGCGGTTGGACACTCGGAATAGGGTAAAATGAAGTCATTGGCTCCATTGACTCGTCCTGATCTGAAACTACGCTCGCCGACACACCGAAATGACCATAGTAGGGCGGTCCTGGAGGCTCGGGGATGTCTTCTTGATGGGTATAAGCCATAGCAAAATGGTCTTCTCCTTGGGGATGGCCGGCCGTGATTGGCGAACCGCATTGGCTGGTATTCGCACTCATGTCGAAGGCCGGTTGCCAGAACATCTGTGAGGTGGCCGGGGGTGTGGGTTGCTGAGAACCCGGCCCAGTGGGAGAGCCGTTATAGTGGTGGCCCAATTTCGCTGTATGTGGCATGGGGGGCGAGCTCGTCGAGGAGATGGGTGTTAGAAGATGGGGCTCGCACGAAGCTGGGTATCCAAACGGGGAGACCTAGAAGCGTTTGAACTCAAAATGTTAGGAAAGGCACTGCTGGCTTACAAAGTAGAGATCGTTCTACTCACAGCTGCGGTATAAGGAACTTCAGGGTAGGTAGAGATAACCAGGGGCGCGGGTGGCCTGGGACACTCCGGGATAGGTGATTTTAGGCCGTGACAGTCCTGGTGCGCGCTCACGGGTATTATATAGGTCGGTTCTGTCATGACTGGAAGAACAGAGGGTTTAGAGCAGGAGGAGAACGAGGGAGAGTTAGGTGGATCTCAGAGAGATGGTAGGAAGGTGGAGTGGGATGGGGATGGCTCGTGTGTGGATATATATATATATATCTAGACGTATATATATGCGTTCCTATATGGGAAGAAGGCGCAGCTGTGCGGCAATGTTGCCTGCTTGCCTTGAATAGAAGTCTATGAAGAAGGATATGAAGAAGGTCAAGAAGAATGATAAGGAATTAGAGAACTAGGGGCGAGGGAAGTGCGGTGGTTGAGGAAGTTCCTTGATAATGAAGGATGGGAACCGGAGGTGGACGTTGCTGGCGACTTATAGGCAAGGAGCCAAGGAAGAAGAGAGATGGGGTCATGGGTAAGTCAGCCTTTCAGGTCGCGGCCCAGATCATTGGGAGGAGAGGTGTAAAAAAGAAGCCCTATAGAATGGGATTGTGGATGAATTAAGTAGTAATAGGTCGATTAAGGGCCACCCGTTATTCGGGGAGCAGACGTATCCATCGAGACACAGGGTGGTATCAGGCACCTTGGGGGTGGATGGATGAAACCCGAACAATATCAGAGAGAAGAGCGAGTCTAAGAGCGAGAAAAAGAAAGGAACAGAAACATGGAACGGGAGAGGTCGAGAGCGAGATTATTCAAGTGGTCTAGGGGCAGAAATTCGAGGAGACGCAAAGGAGCACAGGGACAAGCAAAGCCATAGAGGAGAGTACATCGGCATGTGTGCTCAGAGCTAGTTCTAGAGGTACACCCTTCATACCCCCCTACCTACCCCATGGTTAACTGGGCCAAGGGAAGACCTCAATGACCTGGGCTCATCTCTGAGGTAGTACGTACTACGTACTGTAGAAGAACATTCACCTGGGCAGGCAAAGCCAGGCATTGAAGTGGAGGGGGTAAGGGAGCACAGCTTAAAGGTCTGGTACAACCCTCCTGCCTCGGTAGAAGTGAAGGTACACGTAAAGGGTACATCGGAATGTACTCTTGCAGCATCGTCCCAACACCGCAACAAGTCTCCTACCTGGTGCTCCCTGACTCAGAAGAAGCAAAAGACTTGACGGTATACTTCGTACCTCGATTAAGCGCCGACCTGCCTGTCAAGTGGTCCCTTATGGTTTACGCAACTGCAACTGGGGGAGCAGGCAAGGTTGCCCTGCACCCCTCAACAGGAGATCTGCCCTACTTTACATCGTACCTGGTTTGTAAGAAGTACGAGCTGTGCTGCCGGGGCACGGAATATGCTGCAGTATACAATACATTACATTGATAAACCTTGACGAAGTCTACATCAGGGAACCCAGGGTGGGGGGTGCGAATGTGCAATGTGGAATGGGGCAGTGGTCCTTTTTGGTCATTGTCAAACGTACTAAAGGGTACCGTCGCGAACTGGAAGCGTGAGTACTCACATCGACATGGCGGATTGATTTTTATTTGTGCAGATGGTCTTCGAAGGAGGGAAGGGGAAAACCCTCATGTTTAGGGTGGTCCCTACCTCGTATGGATTCGTCACTGGATTGATGGACTCGAACTAACCAATTCAGCCAGAGGGGTCTCTCTAGTAAAGCCAGATGATTGTACAAGGTGCAGACAGGTCTTGGCCAAGGTGTGGCAGGACTCGAGCCGGATGTTACAATGGGGTCGAGGTCAATGTACAGGGCATGAGGTACTCATGGACTGTTTGTGTACCCCCGAGTTAAGTACACAACCAATTGTGGTCACACTCCAGAGGAACATCAATTACAGTGTATTCTTCCGATTGTGTGACGGCAAGGTACGCCCGGTTTCTAACATTTCCACTGCTCCCATGCTGTGCTGGTCTGGCCTCATCCCTCATATGCTGCATTCTCACCCACATCCACTCCGTTAGCACATTTCTGAGTTCGAATGCTGCTCAGAACTTGACAAACTTCGCCTCGGCCTGTGGCTTGAGCGTTTCGGGTGGCACCGTGGACCTGAATTCGCCAGGCACGAAATCTTTGGGGGAAGGAAGGAATGGATCGACGCACGACTATTGGTTTAACGTCATAGACTCGGATTGTTTGATGATTTTCAAAAACAATAGCTCAATTGATCATGAAATCTTTGCTGGGTAGCGCGAGGATTTGCTTGTAAATTGGTAATCTTTTATAGTGTAGTAGTACATCTCTAATTATCTCGATGCTGAAGTATGGGCGAGCTGTGAAGGAAAAAAGAAAAAACTTTACTCCATAGGAGAATGAACGTCTGGTTCTCCGCAAGTGTCGCCATTAGGAAGTTGACAAGAACGCCTGCCGCTGCTTGACTTCGTCACTCCCTCGACCCTGTCAGATGGAAGAAAGACTCGAGGTTGGCCTGCCTTTTCCGTTGACAAATGAGGACGATTGGATCTCACAATCAGACTAAGTCGATTTCCCCGAGGTCTCGATCTTGATCGCCGTGACATGGCCTGCGGAAGGAAGATTAGTGTCTGATTGACACTACTACGACTTTGTAATAGTGTGCTTCAAGGATCCTGTTTGTATTCGAGTGGGTACATTACAGGCCACCAGGACGAGTAGGATGTTACGACCGGACTTTTGTGTAACACGGCACGCCTTGCCTCATCCCATAAAGCTACCATTGCCATATAACAGCGACATTAATAAAGCCAGGTACTCCAGACCTGACAGTCATGGTTTCAACATATTAGCACCTCTGGGGGGAAAGCGAGGAAATCGGAACGCAGTATACTCGGCCCTGGGGCTCGCTACAGGACGGAACAGATCTTACGCGACCTGAGATTCAGAGTAATTGATGTCTACTTGACCTTTGTACCATTGTGGGAACTCCCCACCTGCCCTCAGAAAATTGCTTGATTGTACCTGTGTGATATGTGTACCTGGCCTTGCCTTCCGTGGTGCGGCGTCGAACTTGGGGGCACATTTCAAAGTCCTCAAAAATCCTCCCGACAATTCTCCAAATCGTCTTGCCGAACTTTCCAACGCCAGGTGCCGAATCGATGGAAGATCGGGATTGGGGAGCAGAAATGCACTCTGGTGTCTGGCGCCGATTTGCTGTAAACGAGGATAGGATATGACGAGGAGGCTTGGACAGACACAGCAGGCACCCATTGCGGTCTTGCGTCCTGGTGTGTAGGTACTTGTACTTGTACTTGTACTTGTACCTCAAATAATCTGCCGCACAAACCCCCTTCAATCCTTCACTTTAGAGGAGGAAGGGATTTCCCGGATTCTCCCCGCCCTTGTCCCTACCAGGGCTCACTTTCTTCTCTCCCGCCTTATTTTTCGAGGTGGCTGCTACCTGTATTGTTATTTGGTGTGGGAATTTGGGATGGAGTGATGGACAATGATTATTAAGGCCCAGGGGTCTCCCTTCTCCTTCTCGTTATGTTGCACTCTCTTGGCAGGTAGTGTTGGGACTGGACATTCATGTCGCACAATCCAGCAGAAGCAGAACGGGAGGAGCGGATAAGATTGATGATGAACTGTCGCACTACATCAGCAAGAGAAGGAAGGCTTGAGGCGTACATACGAAGTACATGTAGGACGAGAGGCGTCGACGTGCGAGGTAAAACAACGGGTGATCGCCAGAGAAGATTTTTTTTTCCCTTTTTTACTTCTTTTGGTCTTTTCTTCTTTTGCTTTACTTTTTCCCCCCTCATTGATAACCAAGAGGGGTTCGGAAAAAGAAACGAGCGGAAAAGTACTGGCGTGGATGTGAGTACGTCGGAAAGCCAATGGCTCGGGATGCTAGTGACTCCATCTCTCTCGCCAAGAGTCTCTCCTTCCAGATTCAGATTGAAAATATGACAATCGCATCTCCTGTACTCTGCTGCAGTCGCGTTGCAGTCGCTCTCTCTTGTCGGGCCCAGGTCCAGCACCGGGAAATCGTGAATGCTTAGCTACAAAGTACTCCGAAGGCCGTTCACAGGTACAGGATAGTCCTAAGTATTGGTGGCACGGATATTGCTCGATCTCTCCTCCGCGTCCGAGTTGGGCCTGTCAGCTGAAGAGAGGACATGCTTAACCTTTCTCCCTCCGAGTCTCTCTTTTTTTTTTTTTTTTAGCTTGAGATCCCCCCTAACACTAATGACATCGATACTCCGTGATTAGAGTCGTCTCTCGCGGGGGCCTCAAACTGGAGAGGCGGGGGCCGAAGAAGAAAAAAAACGTTGCAGGCCCAAAAAAGTAAAGGAAGAAAAAGAAAAAAAAAAAATATTTCGGGATGTCGAGGGTGCCTGCGTTGTTTGTCAAGGACCAGGGGCCCCTGCCATCCGTGGCATGGCGGGAAATTTGATTTGCTCGGGGAATGTGTCGATTCATGGTAGTGTACTTCGTACTTCACGCATACGATGCTTAGAGATTTTAGTGGGGGTGGAGGATGGTACTCTCCAAAACCCTTTTCCCTACCCCCATGAAGATTGCTGTCACGGTTTCCCACTCTCAGTGTAGATTTTTTTTTTGCTTTTTCCTGCCTCGTGTTCCATTTTTGTGTTTTAATGGTTCTGCTTCCTGGCCACGGAGTTTATAGCGAAGGGTTGAGAGTACTATGGTCTTGCAAGAAGATATTGACAGGGCAGCGCGCTTAACGCCCGGAGATAGACCCCAAATTCACTCCCGGAATTAACTTTGTATGTGTGGTGGCAGTCTGGCAGAAAACGCCCCACGAGCCGTTTCTCTTTCAGGATATTATGCTCCGACTTCCTTGTTAAGAAAT